AGAATGATTATCATTTACTAAAGATTCAGAAAGGGAATAAAATCTTCCATCAGAACCTACTTATTAAGGTTACCTTAACAGTGAACCATAAAATGAATGGAATGTTGGCCCTGTGGACCGGTTCCTAAAAGAGACAACGCAAATATTTTAAACTAAAATGTAAGGAGATGGGACGGGGCTTTGGAAGAGTGGGAGTGGGGTAGAGTGATTTAGTAAAGAGAATAAATCTCAACAAGAATTTTGTTTCTATGACATTAGCATAATTCTGTGACATTAGTACTTCATCCTCTCTCTCTCTCTCTCTCTCACCCATCTCATTTCAAAAAGAAAAATATTTAAACATGAGTTTTAAAAGATTCATTTTGAGATGGAAATAATACAAGAATAACTATTGCTGTCTTCACTTTTTTCTCTCTTATTTTCTTTCTGGAGACATGATGTCCCATTTATGATGCTTTTATGTCTATAAACGATTTGGGGAAAGCACTGAAACCAAATCTGTAAACGTGCAAGGGTCCTGCATTGGTGGGGAGGGGATAGGGTGAGGGGGAGACACAAATTGCAAAGAGCAGAATAATCAGATACAGAGGGACTTTGATCTTCTGGAGACCTAAGCTAATAGATGTTAAGTGCAGTTCAGTGGAAGTAATAACCCATGAAGAAAACAAAATCTGCAAAATGATAAAATGCTGCAGTCTACTGATCAAGGAAGACATTGGAAAATTACTATGAAAGCATCCTTAGCCCAGCAGATCCAAGGTGAAAAAAGGGCTGCGTCTGCCAACCAGCAGCCAGACATTCCAGGCAGACTTAACCGTCTCCCATTTTGTGGCTAGATTAACACTCTGTGTAACCTGCATGCTTTCTCACTGAAAAGGCATGAACTGGCACCACTGCAGCCCTGGGCTTCATCTCTCCCAGTGACGCCATAGTGAATCACCGTGAGGCTGGCCACGGACTTGGTGGGGGCATTCCAGGGGCCGTTATTACTGTTAATCAATTAGGAAGAGTTAAGAATTTCTGAATATATGCCAAATGAAGTGCTGGTCATTTTTTTGACATCAGTAGGACATACTTGAGATAAATTTGACATCTGTTAATAAATTAGTATTTCACCAAGCAAACTATGTAGAAAAAATATTGGAAATTTACGGACATTGAAATGCACTTTAAAAATCCAGAAACTTTATAAAGGAGAACTCCTTAATACTAGTTTATTTAAGTTATATTTTATTATGAGTATTTATTTATTGAGCAATGACTATATTACATATGTTGTATAAGATAGGGCAGAATTAATTTAAATGTATAAAACAAACTAAATTTGCATTATCCAAAGAAAATCTACAACTTGAAGTAATTAGATACTTTTGTTGGAGACAGATTCTTTATTGTGAAAATAATTAAACAAACAAACACCATCAGAGAATGTGAGCTAACAGTCAGGAAACTGGGAGAAATGGCGAATGCACTTTAAAAGTCCCACCTTCCCACATTTCATGTAATGGCTAATTAAACATATGGAATACATTATCTGAACCACAAATTAATGTGTTTGGATAGGGTAGGAGCAAACAAATGAAAATAAAGGAAAGCTATGCAATTGGAATCCAGGCATGATGTGGACAAGCTCTGCTGGGCACCAGCATTTGGTTCATGTTTGAAAAAATTACATTAGAACACTTAAAAGCAACATCTTGCTTAGAGGATTCTCCTTTTCAACAGAAAAATTGAAATTGGCAAAGCTCAGATAACAATATATGCTAGTATTATTGATGGCCAAAAATAAGAGGGAAGGAAATTACACCACTGATTTATTCCAATGCATTTAAATTTTCTGGACAGTTTCCACATGCTAAAAAGGACATTGGTGAGCATCTACAGGTATCTTATTAAATTGTGCTGCCTCTCAATATAGTTATTTACGGAAAGACTGGCCTTTAAAAATGTTTTACCTGTGGGGAAAATTGAGACTGGACCTACATGATGCCAATGGGACTTAATAGAAAAAAAAAACTCAGGGCCTCAATTGTTGGAAAAGGTATTTTATATCATACCTGTATGTATTTTTGAAATAAGTTGCTTCCTTGTCTTAGAGTCCTGTGGGTGCACGCTTGGCTCCCACTGTAGACTAACCAGGTGGTGAAAATGAGAACTCCCAGCTCTGAGTTACCCGTCCATTACTCAGCCTGCTAGGCCATGCTGCCTCTCCCCAGCAACTCTCCCTATCTATCATATACATATATACAATTTAGACTAAGCATGCTGGGTGGATTAACTAATGATTGCAAACCACTTTGGAAATAGAGAATACCCTATGTGCAAAGAATTAGTAATGATTAGATAATAGACTGTCCTAAATTTTACATTTAATTCAAACAAACCTTTTCTTGATGAAAGTTTTGCTATTAAACAAAAGACTTTTTTTTTATACTAGAGGTTTTCACGGTATTTTCATTTGAGTTGAATTTCTGTTCTTCAGACCCATATTTCTGCCAATTTCTATCTCTTGTGCTTTCTCTGGCACAACTGAAAGAACAAAGTTAATAACAGAGAAAGGACAAGCTTTAAAAAGTGCTGCATTTATCGTCGGTTGTAATTCTGCTATTAAATGGTCTTGGCATTTGGGAAATTCTTCTCAATCTTGCTTTTTTTCTTAGAGGTAAAAAAGGGAAAACATGGAATTTATACTAAAAATAATTCTCTATCTTCTGCGTTCTCAGTCTTTACCTCTTTGCATTCAGTGTGTGACCTCCTACCTCTATAAGATAGTGTGCAAGATGAGCACCAAGCCTTTGCTTCCCCTTAACTTTTCTAGAAGTAACACACATTCACGTCCTCACACACACACACATACACTCACAATTTGTGTAGAATTATTTTTCACTCTGATTTCTGCCTGTGGAACAGATTGAAGATTTTACCATCCAAAACCCACAAAGAGAAAACTCCTACTGTGGTCTTCAGAATTTCCATTCAGCTGATTTGCCTGCCAAGTCCAGTGACCAGTACCGCCGCTCCTGATGGTGGGGAGCATATGGTACTGCTGTGAATAGTTTTGCTCTCACTGCTGTGAAATCCCACGCCTTCCTACAGAATGTGTTTGGAGGAGCAAATGGTAAGTGTCGCTATTCAGCATAGCTCTGTCTCTGCCTATGGAACCCAGTCTTTTAAACAACAAAATGAAGATAACTGCAAGTCTTCACAGGCCCTGGTTTAGTGTTAGGCTTCAGGGTTAATGGTCACCTGTTAACTGTTTCTTCTTCCCAGGAGAGAGGATTATCTTTTACACATCCTGGATTTACCAGGATCCATAATGGTAAACCAACCATCCATCATTTTTGTTTGTTTGTTTCAATCCTCCTCTTCCTCTTTCTTCTCCTCCTTCTAAAAAAAAATCATCTTAAAGTGGGACACAATTTCTAAGTTAAATTGGGGCTCTGAAAAGAGCACTAGACTTGGAGTTAGGAAGTCTGGAATATCAAACACTAACTAGCCTTGTAACCTTGGGCAAATTTATTCTGTGCCTCTTCTGTGAAACAGATGGTGCAGACCCTGAACGTCCCTTCCAGTTCCAAGATTATATGTGTTTGTGTAGTCCAACTCCACCCCACTCCCAACCTCATCTCCCAGAAAGTCTTTCTCTACCATTCAAAATAAATTGTTGTTTTTCATTTTATAATGCAGCTTTCAAGAACTTATGGGGTGGCTCGCTTCTGGGTTTGTTCATCTCCACTGTCAAGTGGTTCTTCTGTATGTTTAGCAAAACTCTCTCCTACTGCAGTATAAGGCTGTTTTTTTCCTCTTCTGGTTTTTGTGAAAGTAGAGAACAATCCTTTGGAATTTGCTTATAGTAATAGTTTTTCTTGTTTGTACTGTTACTTCAGGTGCTCTTTTATGTTGTGGCCCTTAGACGTGTCTTCTAATATTCTCATTGTCCCTTCTCCCCTGTTTTGCCAGCGCATACATGTGCTGGGGGAGAGACTGGGGTGGGGCCATTTGGGGGCCTAAGTTTGATGTAGTGTGTGCCACATTGGCTGGTGTGCAGTTGAAGGGAGGAGGGAGCAGGTGTTCTGCTGCTGCTAAAGAGGGCTGTGGAAACTTAAGTCATAGACATGCTTCAGTGAGAGGATGAGGATTTGCCCAGATGGGAAGCTTCAAGTACAGAGGCACTTGTACATCTACTTATCTTGAGTCTCAATGATGCTGTTTATGAGTAAGCTATTCAAATGGAGGAAGAAACCCACCGAGAAGGAGAAATAACAGGTCGGAGTGATTATGTGCAGAAGGAGAGGCTCTAGTAGGAGTCCAGTGGGAAAGAAAGAAGGGAATAAAATTAAGAATGATTAATGGCAGATCTCTGATGCTTTCACTGGATCCAAAGGAACAGGGCAATACTGAGTAAGAAACACTTGATATACGAAAAGAGCATGAGTGTGAAGGAAAATACATCATTCTACAGATGTTGACTGACTCTGAGGATGGGAGAGAGTCCCTCAAGATTGAATTGGGGTAGAAGCTGACCCTCCCACTTGCCCAGAGATCCCCTACCTGGTATGGCATCTTTTCCTGGTCTTTCTGGGAAATTCCCTTCATCTGTGTTTTAGCGGGATCTGATAGAATAACTGTGTCCATCAGATGGAGGTGAATCCACAAAAACAGGCTTCAGCTTTTAGGAAGATTTAATTTAGGGACACACAGGCACCTCTCCTCCTAAATGTGCCCTTAATAGTGCTATAAAGGATGTGCAGATATGCAGTGTATGTGCAGCTTCTATGTGTGTGTGCATGTGTTGTTCAGTGCCTAAGATTAAGAAAATAGATTTTGTGAAACCCTGTCTCTACTAAAAGTACAAAAGATTAGCTGGGCGTGGTGGCACACACCTGTTGTCCCAGATACTCAGGAGGCTGAGGCAGGAGAATGGCTTGAACCCGGAAGGTGGAGGTTGCAGTGAGCCGAGATCACACCACTGCACTCCAGCCTAGGTGATAGAGTGAGACTCTGTCTCAAAAAAAAAAAAAAAGAAAAGAAAAAGAAAAAAGAAAATAGATTTTTAGTTGCACAGGACCTAATGTTACTCTCCCTCTGATCCACTCCCCACCACATCCCACCTCGTCTACCTCAAGTTTAGAATTGCTAGAATGCTTAAGGCTACCCATAATAGGTTCATAATAATCTATTGAGAGGTTCTTCATATGTGCCCACATCATGCTGAGCTCATTACATGCATTTTCATATCGAATCCTCCCAGCAATATATGAGATATTCACAAACATTTATACAGTGCTTATTAAATAGCAGACAATATTCTGTTTTGTATATATGTATATAAATTTAATTAAGTACTATTATTATAGTTTTTTATGCATAAGGAAACTGAGGCACAAAGATATTAGTAAGCCATCCATAGTTAAAGAGCTAGTGAATGACAGGGTAAGGATTCAAAACCCATGTCTGATTTATCTCATTGGATTGCAAGTGCCATGAAAGTAACAATTTCATATGGTTTTGCAAACCATCATACCCTCAATGCCTGGAACACAGTAAACACTCAAACATATTGTTTGAATGATTAAACACAGAGCCGAAAGCATTATCCTCCATGCAGTACCAAGTCTCTGAACAGGCTTTCTCCAAAATCAAGAGAAGGGTAACTAGATAAGCAACAGAAGTAGGGGAGACAGTGTAATTCAATCGTCACTCATTCAACAACTATTTCTTGAGCGCCTGCTATGTACCAGACCCTGGCCTGGGTGGTGCTTTTTCTTTTTTTCTCCAAAAAGGAAACACTAAGCGATTTGCCCCAATACCCTCCATACCCAGCCAGGTTTGTCTCCAAATTTCTTCCACATCCTCCTCTGTCTCCCAGGGCTAATACAATGGGCCCAGCAACATGGAAAGGGCAGTTCTCGTTCCATGCAGGCAGTTCTAAGCCATGTTTTACTTGTTTTCCATCAGTCCTATGGCTTTAGGACCCACTGGGGATCATGGTTCAGTGCTGGGGAGGGCATGAAGGCTGCATGTAGCAGATCTCAGAGGGAGGGTCTGCAAATTGGAGACATTTTATTGTTTTCTTCTTTTTTACTCTGAAAACTTTCCAAAAGGAGAGATCTATTTAAATGGTTTACAAAACCCATCTTAAGGTCAGCTCTAATTCAGGTGGGGCCTGGCAGCTATATGATTTCAGGGTTGTTACACAGCTGCCAACGTGAGCTAGATGCCCACCTTGAGCAGCAGTGAGGCTCTGGCTGCCTGCACAACTTCTGCCGCCTCCAAGACCAACTTGGCCTCTATGAAATGTAGAATGTGATAAGGGTCAAAAAGAAAAACTGTCCTATATTTTGGTAGAAATAGATTGATGCAGAAATTCAGAACTTTATTTTTGGTAAATTTTAGAAAACAAAGACACCCACCGTGACACATAGTAGGCACACACATGACCTTCTATTTCTCTTCATTTCTACAATCAGGATATGATTTCAGCAATAGAAGACTTGATCACCACAGTGCTTGGCACATAGTAAGTACTCAGTAAATGTATGACCAATGACAAAAATATGTATAAAATAATGAGTAAATGAGGAATTGGGAGATCCAGGTTCTAGTCACTAGTTTTTTTTGTTAACTAATTAGTAAGATAAAAATATGAAAAATCGTGTCTCTGGGACTCTGTTGTCTCATCTACAAAATAAGGAGACTAGATGAGATTTAAAAAATTTCTTCTTGTTCTTAAATTTTACAGTTGAAATTCTGAATAGAGTCATCATTACATAGTAGAAAGAACAGAAGCCAAAGCCCAGAGTCCCTGGATAGGATTTAACTCTAGACTCAGCCACTGATCAGTCATGAAAGCTTCAACATATTACTCGACATTGCTGAGCCTCCATTTCTTCATCTGCATAATTGAGATGTTGAAATATATTTTGTAGGATTGCAGAAAGATAATGAGGTAAAAATTCAATGCCTGGGATACAGAAGGCTTTAAATACATGATAATTAAAAAATAAAAACTCACTGAATTTAGATTCCATTCTTCTTTGTAGTAAAATGCCACAGCCATTTAGGGTAGATTACCCTAAGAGCCCCTCTTCTTCCCCACTTGCTGCATCTATGCTGTTTGTCCTGTAATTCTGCAGTGCCCCATCCAGCCTGACTCTGGGTATGGCTAAATGACATACTTTGGTCAGAACAATGTTAGCAAATGTGATGCAAACAGAGGTTTGAAAAATGATTGGGTGATTGGACTCAAACTTTGGTGACTCTTCCATCACTAAAATAAGAATATGTCTAACTAACTAACCCACAAGTCCCAAGAAGAGGATAAGAGATATATGGGATAGAGCCAACACTAGCCATGATCTGCCTAGGCCAGCCAAATCCCAGTTAAGTCAACCCTCAAAAGCAAAATAGATGAGCTGTTTGTTTTAAGCCACTGAATTTTGGAGCAGGTTGTTATGCAGCAGCTTTATGGCAATAGCTAACTGATACACCATTGATTCATTACAGAAGATAGGAGTTGTAGATAGTTTTATTTTAAAACTATAGTTAATTAATGAAATTTGAACATATATTTGCTTTCCCACATTTGTTGAACTTTCAGATACACTTTTGCATAAAATTTTGGTAGGAGAAGAGAGACAAAAAATTGCTAAATTATCTTTTTGGTTCAAATGACATTTTTCATGATTTCTGAAACATTTTAAATTGCTAAATTATGAGCATTTGAAAACTTGCCATTAGGTCTGAGCATTCTAGCTTTAATTTTAGATTCAGGAATTTTTAGCAGGGACGGACTTAACATTTGCAGTCCCAAATCTGATTAGAGTATGTCTGTATTTTGCTTAATACCATTGTCCATTTGTGAAACCTAGTTATTCTAGGTATACAACAGTAACAGTTGTATTCAGATTAATGAGGTTTTTAAAATACAGTGTCCAAAGATGGTTACTAATAGAGTGACAGAACCCTCCGTTCACAAGGTTCACAAGAGCACATCTTTTAGAAAGACAGGCTCTGGTAGAAACCAATCACCTCTGAACCAACACAATCACTTCTTAAATAGGTTAGTGTATTAATCTATGAATCAGAAGCCACATTCTTCTAGGCATTAGGACTGAAACTACTTGGTAAGCTTATACAGAACAGGGAACAGAACAAATATGCACAACACTGGGCACATGATTGATTGATTGATTGATTGATTATCAGAAGATGAACATTTTGGTTGAAGAACTGTGAGATAAAACCTGCTCCTCATTACTTAAGATCCAGACCAAATTCTACTCCACCAGGAAGAATATGTCTCCTGGGACCTGTCAGGCCCCCTCCCATGAATGACTCTGCCATGAGGCTGTAAGCTTCTTAAAGACATGAGACATATTATACTTATCTTACATTTCCTGCCTGTCAAGATACCCTACACATAATATACATATATACCTAATGTGGGCTTAATATAATTAAACAAATGAGTGATAATATTGCCCAACTCATAAATGAGGAATCTGAGAGTCAGAGAGATGAGCTAAATTTGGAAATCACACATCTGGACAAAGCTGAGAATTAGATTGGAACTCCGCCCTAGGTGAATCTGGAGTATATTTTCACTATACTACACTTGAATCAGGATTCCTGTGGCAATAAACAAATTAACACATCCAAAGTACATAGCACAGTAGCAGATGCTGAATAAATGTTGAAATAAATGTTGAAAAGGGTAAGATGTGACTTACCCCTTTCACATCTTACTTTGGTGCCAGGAATCCCACCATTGGAGATCTCTCTCTCTTCTCCTGAATGCCTTTTTTCTTAGACGTCACTAATTTATTGTTGGTTGAGGGAGATGGAAAACAAGGTAAACATCCTAATAGAGTAATGGCTAATTTACGGTATTGACAATCAATTGGATTGTTATATGGACATTGTTATATAGACAATATCCAGTTTAAACTAACATAGAAATGCATTAAATGATGACATTTTATGTTTTCTTTGAAAGCAGCTTAGTTTTTTTTCATACATTAATCATATTTGCAGTATTATCACAATGCTTTCAAAACTAAAAAAAAACAGTGATTCGGAAAACACTAGATGGAAATGTTCATAGTATTTGTCTTTAGGTGATAAGAGCTGGGATGAGTTTTTACCATCTTTCTATTTTCCTATTTCAAACAATGAGTGAGTCTTACTTGGATACACTAAGAGGATTTCAAAATGGCTTTTATGTTGCGCTTTCTGTTCCCTACCTGTCTGTGGCAGATGGACCACTCTTACCATCTACTCCCCTTTATCAATACTTCCATATTGTTTTCATGGTATTTATAGCCTTATACTGTACTTAGTTATTTCATAGTGACCTCCCCTTCCACCTGACTGTGAGTTTATTAAGAGCAGGGGTTGTCATATTCCTCTGTATATCTCCAGCACCTGGGTAGCCCACAGGCCATAGTAGGCTCATAAATCTTTGTTAAATGAATGATATTCCTCATTACTTAATTAATAATTTGCCCCATTATTTCCAAGAAAAGGGAAAATAGGAAAATGCTTATATTTGTATGTGTGTATTACAGCAAATTCAGAGCTTGCAAATATTGTACTACATATCACATGTCTTACTTCAATTTTGCACATTTACAAATTAGAAAATAAAACTAAAAATGAGGTTGAGCTTTTTTTCCTCCCACATCGCCTTTTCTGAGTAATGATGAATAGTGCTCAACATGCATGTTCTTCTTATATGAAATCTGCAAATTCTCTGAATAAAGGCAAAATGTATGGAAATTATATTAAACCTAATTTAAATCTGTCTTCTTAAAATTAGGATGTATAATATTTAGTTTCATGAGCAGAACAAATAATACAATTAGTGTTTATTCTTTGACTACCCTTTTACTAAAAAGCTCAGTTAAAAAATGCACGCCACACCAAAACATGCTGCTTCCTCATCACTGTTCCAAGTTTCGTATGTTAAACAAAGACAGGCCAACCTTAAACCTTTTGATAAATATGATGCTTGTGGTAACTGCAGCATTCACTTCGTATCCCATTTCTCCAAGTTCCTGTCAGCCAGATGTCACTTGCAATGCAAACACTAGAAAAATATGAAATAATAATTTCATACATCATCTATGTGTGCATGAGCCGGTCAAACATTCAATACAAATTCAAACTGCTACTACACACAGAGCAAATATCATCCAAATAATATTTAAAATGATTGAAAGGCTTTTGATTTGGAAGTGTATTCTCTTAAGCTAAGTGGTCCCCAAGACCATCTAGAAAATTCAATTGTTTCATTTTTAAAATGTTTTCTGCCCAAAATTATATCAAACCCTAATGTCTCAATAGAAACACATGGGATTGGATTGCTGACTGGGCGCCTGATGTCAAAGAAAAAATCTAATTTCACAATGGCATTTCCTCATACTGTCTCACCAAAATACAAAATTGATAAAATTTTAATGGATAATTTTCAGAAGCAGAATGTTAACCACTGGGAAAATATGAAGGGAAACTTAGCATTGTAGTATAGGAGAAGCAAAGTGAAGGAAGAAATGGACTATAAATACAGATAAACAATGCTACATAAAAAATGTTCTTAAAAGCTTTTTCTTATCGAAAACAGAATTTCGACTTTAAAAAGGCCCTTACTATAACAGCAAAATATATATATGCTTTTTTCTTTCTTTGTCCATTTCTGTGTTTCTTTTCCCTGATCTTTTCTATTTTGTAAAATGATATGGGGAAAGGGAATCACACCGTAAGCTATACCATTAGATATACATTTGCACAGTGTTGATTTCCATTTTTTATGCTAGCTACAAAAGTGGGCATGTATACCCCTGGCTTCAATTAAGAGATAAGAGAGAATGGTATTACATTCAGGCCTGCTTCTTTGCACTGAGGTTCTGCCTTTCCTCTTTCTCCTTGCTGTTTAGTGTGAATTTCCCTGCCTATCTGAAGGGAAGAAGGACCCACCCGCCCCCTTCATTTTAAGGAGAGAGCTCAGTGCTGTACGAGAGGAGCGTTTCAGAGCAGACATTCGTGTGCACAGTGTGGCCTTCAGCATGTACCTTAACATCTTTGAATCTCAGTGTTCCCATCCGTGAGATAGAAATAATAATTCCTACCTGATTGTATTCTTGTGATGTTTGGGAATAATGCTCATGAAACACAGCTGATACAATGCGTGACACACATGAGCTACTCAAATATAACTTTATGATGAAACTATTTTATTTTTTGAGCTTCTCATACTTGCTGCCTTGGATTCTGCCTTCTTCTTAAGCTTTCCTGATCAATTTCATCACACAAACTGGCAGCTATGGGCAGTGAGGGAAGGAAGAGGCAGTCTCCTCACTAGACAGCCAAGCCAAGGTCACCCTGGTCATCCATGAGGTCAGCCGTGTGACAGCCGAACCACTGCAGGACCCTAAAAGTCACTAAGTGACCTGGAGCCACAGACTCAAGGTGCCGGGGACACTCCAGAAAGGCAGATGCTGATCTGCAGGAAGGGATCTTCTTCCTCAGAGACACTGAGGATGACCATCAATATCCCTCACTCAACGCCCCTTCCTGCATAAGATGCTCTACAGGGGACCTCACCATTAGTTCAAGGTTTTAAAGCAGAATCAACTGTAACACCAATGTTCCTGTTTAAAAATGTGAGACCGAGTAACATGTTCAGTGTTTCTTCCCTCTGTTTTCCTTTTCTTCCTCTCTCAACCATTTACCCACTTCATTTTATTTTTCTGTGAGGGCAGGCCCTGGTTCCTAAATAATCTTGGTAGCACATTCTTTCTTCTCTCCAGCCCCAATACAGGATTTTGGACCAGGTAGATCATTGATAAATAGTATTTAAAATTGAAATTAGCCCTTTGTCTTTAGGTGGTTTATTCAGCTAACTAAAAACTAATCCTCTGTATTAGCTAGGATGAGGGGAATTTCTGGTGGAGTTGCTAATGTGTAGGATTTCGAATCAAAGAGAACTAGACTGTTATCCCAACTCTGACATTAGTTAACATCTTGGCCAAATTTCTTAATGACTCTGAGTTTTTGTTTTCTCAATTATAAAATAGAAATAATAACTCCTATTTCTTAGAATTATTATAAGTAGGATAGAACAAGACACCCAGTTCAATATGAATTGCAGATAAATAATAATTTTTTTTTTTTTTTTTGAGACGGAGTCTCGCTCTGTCGCCCAGGCTGGGGTGCAGTGGCCGGATCTCAGCTCACTGCAAGCTCCGCCTCCCGGGTTTATGCCATTCTCCTGCCTCAGCCTCCCAAGTAACTGGGACTACAGGCGCCCACCACCTTGCCCGGCTAGTTTTTTGTATTTTTTTTAGTAGAGACGGGGTTTCACCGTATTAGCCAGGATGGTCTTGATCTCTTGACCTCGTGATCCACCCATCTCAGTCTCCCAAAGTGCTGGGATTACAGGCTTGAGCCACCACGCCCGGCCAATAATAATATTTTTCATATAAATATGTCCCCATTATTGTATGGAACATACTTAGACTAAAAAACTATTTATTGTTTATCTGAAGTTCACATGTAACTAGATACCCTATATTTTATTTACTGAGTATGGCAATCCTAATTGTAAAGACTAAATGAAAAAATATACTGTAAAGCTACCACCTTCATTCCCAGTAGGTAGTAGGATTCACTGAGTATTATTATTTCCTTCTTCCCTTGCTGAGTTGTTGTGAGATTAAATGCCTGTTACATAGTACTAATTCCATGAATTTTGGTTTGCCTTTCCTCTCAAAGTTCAGCCTCAGAAGAATCTGCTCTGTGCCTAACAGTGAAGAAAAAGCCTCAACCACTTGTGACATTTATCTCTAGGCTTTACTCCTCATCTCTCCTCCCCAGGGCCTGTTTGTAGCATGCAACAGAGACCGTGGAGTAGCCTATTTAAAAGGACAAAGTAGACAGAGCTGTTAATACAGGTCCCCCTCAACTTAAGGCAACTTTATCTTTGAAAATTTGAACTTACTCTGGAAGCAGATGGCCGAAGGAGTGATTATTCCCATGATTTTATAAAATGTTCCATTACAAAAATTCTTTAAATTGTGAGCTCTCTAAAGAGTTCCAAAGCAAAGTTTTAAAAAGGATTTGATTTACAAAAACATAGAGGAAGGATAACCTGTTCAGCAATAAATCTGTTACCTAAGGAGTATGATAAAGGCGTCGCTAACAGCTCTATAAAACTTGCTTCCAGAGGCACCACTCAGCCCCCAGGTCGGCTTTTCCGGACACTGTCATTCATCTGGCGAGAAAGGCTTTCAGCTGTGACTATTGCCAAATGCCCTCCTGGGGTGGTGGCCAGGCATGAACTTGGCTGCCCACAAAAGATACAGGAAAGGGTTTTAAGGACATGTTTTCTATTTTTTTTTTTTTTCTCACAAGTTAAGTGTTGTTGCTCTCTGAGAAGCCTGAGATAGTGCATAGGATATGATTCAACGGAAAGTCTTTGTATGAGAAAATGGCTCTTTCAAAGTGGTCTATCTGAGGATCAGCACATTTGGAGTCTGTCTGACCCACATTTCCAAAGCTACAGCTGGCTCTGCTGGACTGGGACATGTGACAAGCATCCTGGGAGAAGCTGCTCCAACGTTGGGAAGGGAACACTTCCAAGTCTGGAGAATAGTTAGGGCTAAAACCTATGAATATCTCTAGATTACACACTGGGTCTTTCCAGGGGAATGGAGGCTTTGGCTGACAGCAGAAAGCAGGTACTGTCCACTTTCTTCGGCTCACATTCTCATGTAAACAGGCCAGGCGGCCACATACTCTGCACCAGCTGCAGCTTCTGGGTGGTCCTGCTAGGAAGTTCCAAGTGGATTGCAGTGCAGTCATGTAGGCTGGTGGTCACACAGCTAGAATAAGCATCTGTGGGAGACAGCAAAGGCATGTAGGCTCTCCACTCTCCAGTCTCTGGTGGAAAATCAAAGTAAAATCTGACTTCCCCGAGAAGTCTGTTCTCCAAAATTAAAAAACAAAATGGAACAAGATAAAATCATAGAGTCAAAGAGTGGGTGGATTTTTCTGGCAGGCAATTCCTGATGCAAAGATTATTCAGTTCTGCTTCCCCATTCCTCTTGGAAATATGGACTTAGAGCCTAGGCAAATGCATGTTAATTTATCAGTATTATTGCATACTAAGCTATGGATGACATTATGACACTTTTCAGCATCTCTCCTTAGGAAGGCAAAACAAGGGTATTGCTGAGTTGGAATTCCACCTCCACTACTTATTAGCTGTTTGACAAGTTGCTTAACCTTTCTGTGCCTGTTTTGTTATCTGTAAGTGAGAAATACTAGTAACTCCTTAAAAGGGTCATTGTGAGAATATAAATGAATTAATATATATAAAAGTTTAGAACACTGTCTGGCATAGAGTGAGCCCTAAGTAAGCATTAACTTTAATTCATATAATTAAAATGACATTAATGTTATGGACTATATTCGTATTGTGCTTTGTAGTTATAAAGCACTTCCACTTGTTTTTGGTGGATCTGTAGTTAAGGTGAAGTGGAGTAAGACTGAAGAATCTCTCTTTTTCTTAATGAGGTAAGAGAGAAATAGGAGTAATCATGCTGTATGAGATTATCCCAGGTAGAAAGGGTGATGTATGTAACTCAAGAGTAGAAGAGGGAAATTCCATAAAGGAGATACTGAGGTGGTTGCTGGGTTGGACTTGAGAACCCAGGTAAAAGAGTAGTAGAATACAAGCAGAGTTCAAGTCTGTGGACAGCAAGGGGATGGAAATGCATAGAAATCAAAAGAAATGTTCATAAGGAGTTTACAAATAAAAATCAGGAGTCTTAATATGGTTCAGCAGACAGCTGAGGTCTTAAAGGAGCATTTTGCAAATTGAAAACACTTAGTTTTCCTGGTTCTACACTTTACCCCAAAGTCAATTACAGATGAGGATCTAAGAGCTGAATATATAAAAAATTAGAGAACATAAAGTAAAAAGAAGAGAAGAAAACTGAGAATTCATCAAACATTTGGGATAGGTTTAACTTTCTAAAATTAGAATCAATAGAAGAAAATTGATACAGGGTGGCATTGAATAAGTAC